GGGAAGTTTAAGTCATTTTTATAAATAGGTTTTCGATTCCTTACTCTCTCTCTTCTCCTTCTGGAACCCCTATGATGTGAATGTTGGTACGCTTGATGTTGTCTCAGAGGCCCCTAAAATTGTCCTCATTTTTTAGAATTCTTTTCTTTTTTGCTGTTCTGATTAAGTATTTTCACTACATTGTCTTCCAAATCGCTGGTTCGATCCTCTGCTTCATCCAATTTGCTGTCAGTTTCATTTAATTTATTCTTCATTTCAGCTATTATAGTCTTCATTTCTGACTGGTACTTTGATGTGGTTTCTATCTCCTTTTCTCTGTTTACTATCTCTTTGTTGAAGTTCTCACTGAGTTTATATATTCTTCTCCTAAGTTCATTGAGCATCCTTTATAGCCATTGTTTTGAACTCTGTATCTGGTAGATTTCTTGCCTCCATTTTATTTAGTTCTGTTTCTGGAATTTTGTCCTGTCCTTTCATTTGGAACATGTCTTTGTCTCCTCATTTTGTCTGCCTCCCTGTGTTTGTTTCAATATATTAAGTAGATCTGCTACATCTCTCAGTCTTGGCAGGGTGGCTTATATAATAGGTGTCCTCTGAGGCCCAGTGGCATAGTCTTCCTGGACAACTGAGCTGGGTGCTCCAGGGGTGTCCTTGGTGTAGGTTGTGTGTGCCTTTCTATTGTAATTGAGCCTTGATTGCTGTTGTTATTTCAGTGGGTGGAATTGACCCTCAGGCTGACTGGCTGTGAGGACTGCCTATAACTATAGTGGATTAGCTGTTGTGTAGGGCCTGAACCTATGGAGTGGGATTAGCTTTAGCAGGGCCCTGTTGCCTACTGAGTCTACCCTTTTGGCATGTTTTTTGTGGAGCTAATTGGGTGGTGCTAATTCTGGTGTAGTCTGAAGCTGGTCACTGGGTGTATTTGCTCTGGGTCCTCTTGGGAGGGGCTCCAGTGCAGGCCCAGGTCAGCTGCTGCCTATGCACAGCCTGGTGCCACCTGGTAGAAGCTACAAAGTGATCTGTGGTTGATAGATGCCTGTGCTGGCCTGGAGGTTTCTTGGAGAGGCTATTCTACAAACTGACACCAGCTACCAGTAGCGCTTGGCTGGGAGGCACTAGCAAGAGGTACAGGGCATGCTGAGGCCAGCCACTGCTTGTTTGGGGTTTGTGGACCTTTCAGAGATTTTAGGAAAGTCTGCAGCATTGGCTCAGGCTGGCTGCTTTTGTGGATTAGCCTCTGAAAGAGGTTTGGCTCAGCACATGAATTGGGTGGGGTGAGGTCTCAGAGAATCACCAGGGTGGGGTAAGAGCAGAGGTATCCAGGTTAATAGAGACTCAAATATGGTGCCCAACTACACCTGCAAACTGTGTTAGGGGAGGGTTCAACAAAGGAACAAAATGGTGGTGAGAGCTGCCCTTCTAGCCCTCGCCCTGAAGCCAGATAGTTCAGTTCATCTTCATATATCTTTTTGGGCTACTCCCTAGCACTGCAGCCCAGAGCAAGTGTGGCAGTCAGTGAGTAAGTTCATGCATGAGCCCTTTAAGAGCAATGCCTGGGACACCAGTAGCCCTCCATCTCACCCAGACAGAATCCCTACTGATTTTCACAGCCAGATGTTGTGGGGATTCCTCCTCCTGGCACTGATACCCTGATCTGGGGAGCTCTGTGTGGGGCTGAGACCCCTTGCTCTTCAGTGGAGGGGACCTCTGCAGCTAAGGTATCCCTCCTGATTCTTAACTGCCACCCATGGTATATGACTAGTCCATTTCTCATCTCTGCTCATACCAGTCTCCATGTGGCTTCTTTTATATCCTTAGTTATAAAAGTTCTGTTCAGCTAGTCTTCAGGTTGTTCTCAAGGGTTCTATAATTTAGATGTTCTATAATTCAGTTATAATTTTGATGTGGTCATGGGAGGAGGTGAGCACAGCATTTACCGACTCTGCCATCTTGACTGGAAGTCCTCTGCCTATTTTCTTTCAGATCATCTCAACTTTGCACGCTTGGGACCACCCATTTGTGACAATCATAAAGTAAGTATACATTTTAATTTTTCTTTCAATCAGCTGTAAATGGAAATTGCAGTTTTGTTCAGTAGTTTTCAGAAGATAGAGTTTTATTCAAGTATTTTATCAGTGAATAGTAGCATAATGAATGGAAATTTCATATATAATAAAAGATGTTAATGCTCCCCCAACCTTTAAAATTTGCAAAAAAGAAAATGGATGGAAAAGAAATAAATAAGACGCTGCTCATCACCCTTGAATATTACCTGTAACATAATAAAGTATATTTGCAGCCACTGAGTAGAGTTATTTTTATGTACCAGTTTCATCCTGGGCAGTTCTCAGAGTCCTTTACTACAGCTTCTTCCTTCATTTTAATTTGGGCCAGGAAGTATCTTAAATGGCATTACGTACCAATTAACATATAGCAGAGAGTTTGGCACCCAATGAGCACATAAGAAATATTTATTGGAGAGTAAATGGGTGGATTAATTAGTTCATCAATTGTGTACTCTGTGAGGTCCTTCACCACTGTGAGGCAATGTGGCACTATGGTTGGTGCCCCAAATATGGAGATGTTTGGGATCAATTCCTGGCCCTGTCATTTACAAGCTGCATAATTTTGGGCACATGTTCAAACCTGTCAGTGCCTCTGTTTTTCCATCTGTAAAATGGGGCTAATAATATTTCCCATCTTCTTGTTGTTATGAGGTTATTATGAGGATTAAATGTGTTAATATTTGCAAAATGAGTTAAGTAATGCCTGACACATAATAATCTCTGCAAAAATGTTTGTTGAATAAATTAAAATAAATTAAGCATATAGGGACCTTCCAAGATCCCATATTAAGAGATTGAAAAACTAGTTTGGCCTAGTAACAATAACACTGTAGTAGCAATAAACACAGCTACCATCCAAGTCTTAGCTTCCAAGACTATTTCCTAATAAAGGGAACCAGGGCTCTTTGGAGAAATGACTGATTTAAGACTGGGGCAAGAAATATGTAAAATGAGCCTGAAACATTTTATAGTAAGAATGTGATAAAAGGAAAAGCAAAAAACAAACAAAAAATACATCACACAGGGTAGTGTGACACACTGTGTGCTAAAAGGATGTGGGAGCCAACTGAAAATATTCCCAGTGGCCAAAACTGGAACTATTTGAGCAACAAAATATATAAATTAGTACTGAGATATAACCTAAAATATAAAATAAATACCTATACTGATGCAAGTATTATAAATTATTGGATAAATATATGAGAAGACTAGGGAAATATCTCATGCAGAATTCCAAATAATGTATGTGGATACTCTGCTCTTCAGGAAGTGAAGCGTAACTCCCAATGGAGGCCACACATAGTGACTTTCTTCCAAATAGTACAGGATGGAAAGAGAGGGGGAAAAAAAGAGTACCTTACAGTAGAGAAAACTGACAAATATCCCCTCAAACCAAGTGACCAAGGTCAACATCAACAGTGCTGTGTTATATTGAGAGTAGATATCCTTCATCTGATGTGATGAGAAAGACATTTTGCCTCTGTGGTCTTTCTCCCTGAAGCACATAACCCCAGTCTAATCATGAGAAAAATATAAGACAAATTCCAATAGTAGTGCACCCTACAAAATGCCTGGCCACTAGTCCTCAAAACTG